TTGGGGAAATGCACACAACCCTACAGATGAGAACTGACCATCTCCAGTGGTTTTCTGTTGGATAGCTCTGAAACTGCACAATGCAGAGAAGGTCTGCCAGCTGCTGAATGGAGGAACAATGCTCCTCTAGGGAAAGGAGGGGAGAGGAGAGGTGAAAAGAGGAGAGGAGAGGAGAGGAGAGGTAAATGAAGGAAGGAGGGAATATGAGCCCCAGAGCCATTAGTCTCTGTCATCACCCTTCCCCCCATATCTTCCTCTCCTCCTCCTCCTCCTCCTCTCTTCTACCCTTTTCCTGTCCCTCTCTCTATTATGTCTTGTTTTCTCCCTTCATCTCCCTGTCTCTGTATCTCTCTCTTGCTCTTAATCTATTAATGCTGCATTGAGGTGATGTGTGTTGACAGAGGCAGTTAGATGCTGATGTGAAACTAAATATCTGGTGATTTCGATGTGTGTGTCCCTGTATCGCTGTTGGGGAGTTTGACGTCCAGATAAAGAGGCAGAGATAGAAGTGTGTGATGGGATTATGGAAGCCTATAGCACAACCTGCTGACTTTTACATGATACAAATGTTTAAATTGTTTACATTTATATATATATATATATATGAACAAGGTTTCTTACAAGTGAAGCCCTGGAAGAGAGAAAAACAGATATCAGACAGAGAGAAGTCAGAAATCTGGAGAGAGAATGAGAGACAGATGGAGACTCATACAAACATAAATCATGCAGAGTCGAAAGGGTTTAATTCCTTATACTTATGAAGGCAGACGCCACTGTCTCTCTTCTTCTCTTTCTTCTCTCTTTCCATATAAAACTAATGGAAAATCCATTTAAAGGATATGAATTTAGTTGTTGATTAAGATTCCCAAAAATCAATATTCAAAATGCTTGGTCAAGCAAGTGTGTGTGTGTGTGTGGCGTGTAGACCGATTCCCTGGGCCAAAGTAGGGCAGGAGAGCCTGGCATCGACTCAGCTTCCTGCATGAGTGACCTGAGGAAACAGTGTGTGTGTCTGTTGCTGAGTCTGTTGGTGAGGGTGTGTGTATAAGCGTGTGTGTGCATGCATGTGTGTGTGTGTGTCTCCGCCCTACAGCAAGCTGCTGTCAAAGAGGGGGAGGAGCAAACAAGCGCACCAGCGAACGAGAGATAGAGAAAGAGAGGAGTGTAGTAGAGAGAGAGAGTTAGCATCTGTTGTTTCTGTGGCAGCTGAGCGGCACTGGACTGATTTTGCACACACACACACACAAACACACACTCACATTTCCTCTCTGTGCCACACACTACTGCATACCTACACACACTTCTTTTCACACACATTTACATCTTTCTGCTCTGGCTTTCTCACATGCTGGCGTTAGATCTTTTCCATCATCTCTCTCTCTTTCTGTTTTTTGTCCCAATCCCATTCACATCCCGGGACTCTAAGCAGCAAAAACCCTTCTCCCACACGCACAAACACTTATCAGAAAGCCACCGTACCGGCATCCCATCGTGCGGACGCTGAGACTGCCTGTCTGCCTGCAGCATGTGAGTACAGCTGAGCGGGAGTTGGGAGAGACAGACCTGAACTGATTTACTTGTTAAGATCCTGCCTCAAGTAGCAGTCTAGCATCACTGTTTATGGATAACATTTCAACCCTTAACGCTGCCTTTAGTTCAGGGACTTTGAGTGTGTTGGGGAATGATGCTAAAGGTAATATTGGACTGAAAATGACAGACTTTGTGTGGGGAATCCGGGATGCTCTGACACCGTTATCCCTCTCATGACCAGTGATGCAGCATTAACATGTTTGCTCCTACGCTGTCTTTGGTTTAATGACTCTCACTGTGGTTTAGTATCAACAGTCTCACTTCCATTACTGTTGCTTTTTTGTGGCACTTTTGCTGTATTGCTAGATTTGTTTTGTTTTTTTTAAACTAAGATGAGCACTGTGCCTGGTCATAAAGCAGAAGATATCAGAGCTGCAGCCTTGGCAGTGCCGGCTTTGTCTTTCTCTTCGGGACTCAATAACAATAATATCTGAGTTGCAACAGAGTTTGTTTCTATGGATCACAAAGAGGAGCAACATATCTCTGTAGCCCTACAGTACCTCTGTCTGTGTCTCTCTCTTTTCAACACTGTCTGTTATTGATGAACCTTTATTCCTTATCTCACTGTATCAGATGTGAGTTTACTGAAACACATTTAAGCCCACTCACAGTTATTAATCTGTTTCCTCTCATTATCTTTTCTTTCCACCTTCATTCTGTCTTGTATTCTCCCTCCCTCCCTGTCTGTCTCTCTCTCTCTTCCTCTTAATCCCATAATGCTGCATTGAGACGATGTTCGTTGACAGAGACAGTTAGATGCTGATGATGTGAAAGTTCATACAGTATATGGTGATTTTCATGTGTGTGACCCCTCCGTGGTGCGGTGAGTCCAGTGAAACTAACTGAAATAGAAGTGTTAATCCACCAATTTTTAATGGATTAGAGCTGAGATTGAAAATGCCGGGCTGAGGTCAGCGATGAAAAATATTCAAGGTTGAAGCAAGAAATTAAATTTTCAGCAAAAAGGAATTTTGATCCTCTCATTGGAAAGATTGGAGGTGGTTTTGCCTTGTCAAACCTAGGTCATGCTGTATGAATATCACATTTAGCATTGAATGTTGCAAGTTATATAAATCTATCAAAGTTCTTTTCCCAGAACATCGATGCTGTTTTTAAACTGAAAAAAAAAAACATCAAAGATTATGTGACCCTGAGTATTTCAGTTATTTCAGATGCGGTGGCTTTGAGCCGTTTTAGTACAGTTTAGTTGTTTGTGTCAGTGAGCTTCAGTGTGTCAGATTAATGAATGCCTGGGGAAAATCAGAGCTGAGATCTTGGGGTTGTAGGCTGGTTTTCTGACAGTGTTCAAAAGCTGAGCATTTATGAAAAAAAGGTGATGAAGGAAATAAAAACAGAAGTAGGGAAAAAAGGAGGAAATGTCAGGAGATACTGCAGGTTCCAGATCAGTGTGTGCGTGTGCGTGTGTGTG